TAGAAATAGATTCCCTCCCCCCCACCCCCTCACAAATAAATCGGTTTTAATGCAGATTCTCGGGGCGTGGGTGACACATAAGAAGCATTAATACCTCCTTCTGAATTTCAGAGACCCAGCAGGGAAGAACGAGGAACGCTTGCCCAAAAAGGGAGCGTAAGGTGGTTATGGTTTCTCCCCATTCCTGCTTTGGTGCTGTGGTGCGAGGCTCACTGGTGCCCTGCCTTTGCAAACGAGGGAGAAAGAGCCTTTTCCCAGCAGTCTCAGCAGGTGTAGCAGCAACACCATAGCCCTGGTGTGTGTCCTATTGGGTAGGCTGTCCGGCAAGACTGCTAGGAAGTCCTTGCTCTCTTTAGGGCCAGGTGGGTGTGGATCTCTCACCAAGGATGGCTGAGCATTCAGAACCCACATATCCCAGGCCCAAGTAAGCCACCGATCCTTTAAAAATACCTAGCTAAAATAAGTCATAGTTTTACATTTTAAGAGTAAAATTGGTTTCTAAAAGTAAATGGTTATATTATTGTCAAGGTGCATCATTCAGCTTTATACTTAAGGTCTGTAAATTTCAACTACTTTAGGGGAGAGTTTGGGGGCCGAAGGAAGTCTTGTTCCACTGTGGTGTTTGTTTGGCAGGGGGAGGAGTTGCCCAGGACCCCTTCAAAGAGAGTGTCCTCCAAATTAATACAATGAAAACGTCCTATAAGCGTTATCTACCATCCCTTCCTTTCTTGGCCACTGATGAACATGACACCAAGAAAATATTCCAATCCTCCCTTATCTATTCTCTTCCCCCATCAAAATGTACCTGTGCAGTGTCCCATTACCATGGTGCTTGTCTAAGGTGCTCAGTGGCTTCTGAACTTTCCTATACTGGCATTTTGCCCTTTTCGTGGAGAACCCTTGAGGATGCTGCCTTTCCTGGGTTGGCTTCTCAGAGAGGCAGATGCTGAGATAAAGTTAGGAAAGCCAAGAGTTTACTGGGGAGTTATACCTGTGAAAGCAAAAGAATATGAAGCAGATTGCACAGTGGGAACATTCAGGCAGCGATGCAGGTGGGATAAAGCCTGTGCCAACCCCGTGGAGAACCCCCAGAGGAAAGACTGCCCATTTTAGGAGCACTGTGTTGGGTGGGAATGGCTAGCTCCTGTACCACTGTCTTGCTCGGTCATTGCCTGGGAACCACTCTGAGAAGAGCACGACCTTTGCCTGCAAGGGGAGACCTTTGCCTGAAGACATTATCAGCTGAAGGCTGTCGGTGGCCCGTGCTCCTTGAAGCCGGACAGTGAGTTCTTTCTCAGAGAGGGCTCTGAGTGATGCATCTCTGTGTCTGCCTCGGCTGCCTTAACCAAAGGAAAGACTGTATAATGTGGACACTTTAAGGCATTTAAGATGGGCGGAGGAGGGAGAAATCTTTAGTGTTTATAAATTATTTACTCAGGGCCTACTTTGTGCTGGCTGCTTTTACAAAGCATGTGTGTTCTGACACTTTGAACAAAAGAAGAAAAGAGAGAGAGGAGATGGCTTTTTTGTTATTGTTGTTTCCTTCCCCGCTCCTTGTCTCCTTGTTGTCTATTGTCTGGCTGTCTTGTTTGGCAGAATATTTAAATCCTACGTATCTTTCAAGGCTCAGATCAGGATTGTCATGGTGACAAAATATTTGAAATTGGGACTCTCGCAGAAAGTCAGGGACTTATTTGAAAGCCTGTGCCTTCAAATGACCAGTGCTGGCCAGCCTTGTGGCTTTTCTGTAGGTAGAAGAATTTTTTTTTCTTTAGTTTTTGTTTTTGTTTGGTCTTAACAGTGACTGTTTTTCACCTTCATCAAATTCATAGCTCACTGGGGCAAGGTGTCCCATTAGACACCTGTGGCTTGTCCTGGATCAAGTCTCCACACTTTTAGGAACAAATTCCTTACTCTGTCTAGACACATATTGACATCTGTCTTTCCTCCCTCCATAATAAAGAAAGATTCAGAGAGGACTTTTATTTTTAACAAGTTTTGTATTTCTTGAAAAAATTATTCTTCTCTGTCTCTTTCCTTCTCTGGCATTTTCTCCAAAGATGGCTATAATAATCTCTCTCATTCTTTATGCTCTTCAAGAATCTTGCCATTCTTCTATTGAAAATGGGGTCTAGTTCACTTCCCTTAGCATCTGGGTGGGCTTGTAATTGCTCCCATCGAAAAGAAGTAGCAAAAGTGATTGTTTGTGATTTTCGAGGCTAGATTACATTAAGACCTGCCGTTTCTTGTGTCTTTTGGGACACTCACGGTTGGAACCCAGACACCATACTGTGAGGAAGTCCAAGCATCCCATGGAGAGGCTTATGCGGAGAGGGGCTGAGGCCCTGGGCCCATGCCCCCGGTAGAGCTCCAACCCCACTCCCACTTGCCAATCGTGGAAGTGAGCTATCTTGAAAGGATTCCTTCAGGCCACAGTCTGACTGCTCAGGCTGATGCCACATGAAATAGAGATGAGCCTCCCTCACGGAGTCCTCTACATATTGTAGACAATGACTATTGCTATTTTAAGCCACTACATTTTGGGACTATTTGTTACTCAGCAATAACAGCTAAAGCACCTTCACTTTGTGGCCTCCCTAAAGAGAATTTATTTCTGTCCCTTTAAGGACTGATATGATGGATAATTCCATTATCTTGTACTGTGCAGTGATCTCAGGGAAAGATGACTCAGGAAATTAATTTCCAGATAGTTGTGATACAGACTCTCCAAAAATGCTGCTTTTTCAGAGCTGAGGATTCATGGCTCCTTTGGTTTTTCAGTTGACTGTTCTTGAGTCTGTAATTTCCCCCCTGGCCATTTTCACAGATGAATGAATCTTCACAAGGTTTGGATTTACACAATTCACCCAAATTTACCAGTGCGATCTTTCATGGTGCTTGTTTCCCAAGAACCTTTAGAAGTAAGTATTCCTAGTTTTTATCTTACTGAGAATTATGTGAGGCTCTGACTTTGAGGAACACTCTCTTCTCCCCCTTGTCTTTATCCCCGGATTTTCCAAACCGTGTTCTGTAGAACCCGATTCCCTAGAACATTATTGGTTTTTCGCAGAGAGGCAAATTAGTTTGGGAAACACCGGATACTTTATCATTCTTTTAGAGACTGATGATGCTCATTAGAATCCAAGAGTCTTGCAGTCAAGAAACTGATTTCAATTATTTATTTATTCAAACAGCGTTTATTGACCACCTATTCTGACTCAGGCTGTGTAGAGGCGCTGGGTGCATAGCAGTGAACAAATCTACACGGTCCTCCCTGAACAACAGCAACTCATTTGTAATTATAATCGTAGTGACTACTATGTAGAAAAAGAACCGTGCGCCACAGAAAGAATGGAAGGGGATCTGCATTCGATTGAGGGATGGGAAAAACATCTCTGAGACCGGGTGGAAGGGGTGTGTTAGCCAACTGAACAGTGCTCTAGACAGAAAACGCAGCACACACAAAGGCCAAATCTGTCAATTCTCCTTTCCCTCTCAACTCCTGGTCACCCAGTCCCCAGTACAGGTTGTCTGGAACGTCAATCACACAGCCATTCTTCCCTTCGGGAGGGTAACTGTACTTTCTCAGGCTTAAACATTCTCGTGCTTATCTTAGTTTTACTCATCTCTGGCCCCAAGTGCAGTTGGTGACCAACGTTCTGAAATGTCTTTTTGTTAAAGTTTAACAAATCTGATTTTTTTTTTACTTAGAAAATTTTTTTTAATGTTTCATTATTTTTGAAGGAGAGAGAGACAGAGTGTGAGCGGGGAAGGGGCAGAAAGAGAGGGAGACACAGAATCCGAAGCAGGCTCCAGGCTCTGAGCTGTCAGCGCAGAGCCTGGTGCAGGGCTCGAACTCAAGAGCCGTGAGATCATGACCTGAGCCGAGGTTGGATGCTCAACTGACTGAGCCACCCAGGCGCCCTAAGTTTAGCTAATTTTAAATGTAATTGAACTCCACATAGCTTAGATAGTGGGGTTTTGTTGGGGGTGGGGCGGGGGGCGATGGTGGTGGTAAGAAAACCCCAGGGGAACCTTCCTGGAATTTTTCCAGAGATAAATATCCCAGGAGAATGCTGGGATGTGCAGTCATCTTAGAGCAATGGAAAGACGAGTTCAGAGTATGCTCATGACCGACATTCCTACGTTGGAGGGAGGAATGGTGCCTGCGTCTTCCATATTTAGCCTTCACCAGGCCTGGTCCCTGTGCTACTGAAATGCCTGGTGTTCTTTCTCTATTTGGTAAATTCTTTCTTGCTTCAGTTTCAAACTCACCTCCTTCAGGAAACATGTTCAGGCAAGGTAGGGATAGGTGTGGACTCATGTTCTAATGTGCTTATCCTGAGGCCCATCTACCTGTGTTTTGACTCACTTTTCAGTGTTTGGGGTCCTGGGTTTTTGGGGTACAGGGGCCCTCCTTTGCTGTGTGAGGCAGAATGTAGAAAATGTCTCCTGTGCCCGAGAACAGCTAAAAGAAGCTGAGTGTCAAAGATCACAGAGTGAGTGAATATAGGTTCAGAACAGAGAGCTGTCTGGTCCAAGGTCTGGGTAAGTGATTTATTGCTGTTCTGATATTTATCCAAACGCCATGTACATTCTTGGGCGTCTGTTGACTTGTTGCCAATTTCCTGAGGCTGTTTTCCCAAGTGAGCCGGGGATACCCACAGGGGTATCTGAGATCATTTGGAAACGCATGCAGAGGCACAGGCTTTATTTTAGGGGTTACGTCTTTATTGTAATGAATGTTAGAAAAAAAACCCCACAATGAACATATGCAACTTGAGACCTGCCAGGTTCTGTTTCTTAGTATAAGGTCATCCAGGTTAAAACCAAATGATTGATGGAAAGTCAACTTAGAGACGCATCGCGAGTAAATGGGAGTATAGGCTGTGAGGGAAAAGTATCACAAGGGTGGTATGCAAATTACGGAGTCCTAAGGGATTCAACACTCAGTCTAAAATGTTCCCCTTTTCAAGCGACCGCTCTTTGATGGAGCGTGTGTGTTTATTTAGCACACATTTATCAAGATGAGTGTGATACGACTTTTGCCCTTGAGGAACTTACAGTAAAAACAAGCTCATAAACAAATGATCACGGTTCAGAAACAACAGCTAAAATTTACTACAAACTAGTCATCTGCAGGGGCTTTGCCTGCCAATGATCTCATCCGGTTTCACAGGAATGACTGAAAGTGGATTTGACTTTTGTATCCATTCTACAGATGTGGAAACGGAGAGAAAGAGAGATGAAGTGACCCAGCTGGCAGCGGCGGAGCAGGATTCAGAACCCAGGCACTGGAGCTTTGAAGCCGGGTTCTAGTAGCAAAGTATACACAGGCCCAGGAGAGAACAGGTGACTCAGGGACAAATTGGGAGAGCCGAGGAAGGCCTGCTCAGAAAGGGGGCCGCTCAGGAGGGCTTGGGTGCCTCAGTTAAGTGTCGAACTCTTTTGAATGTTTTTTTTTTTTTTAATTTATTATTTAGTTTTGAGAGAGAGAGAGATAAGAGTGTAAGTTGGGGAGGAGCAGAGAGAGAGGGAGACACAGAATCTGAAGCAGGACCCAGGCGCCGAGCTGTCAGCACAGAGCCGGATGCGGGGCTCGAACTCATGAACCGCGAGATCGTGACCGGAGCTGAAGTTGGGCGCTTAACCGACTGAGCCACCCAGCTGCCCCAAGCGTCCAGCTCTTGATTTTGTCGCAGGTCATGATCTTGCAGTTTGTGGGTTTAAGCCCCGTGTCGGGCTCTGTGCTGACAGTGTGGAGTCCGTCTCTCTCTCTCTCCCTCTTTCTCTGCCACTCCCCTGTTTGCACGTGTGAGTGCGCGTGCTCCCTCTCTCACTCAAAATAAATAATTAAACTTAAAAAAAAAAAGGGAGACCTCAGGCTCTGAGAATTCTACATGGCGAAGACAATAATTGCAACAGCAGGAAGATGGGAAAAGATGGATGGAGTTTGGGATAGGTATGAGTACTTCAGGGTGTAGTTGGAGTTTAGGAAGAATACTAGGATGAGTGGGAAATTAGTTTATGATTTACGGGCCGCTGTGGTGAGAGGACCCAGGCTGATAAGTAGCTCAGGTTTTCCAGAAGCAGATCCTGAGCTGCGGATCTGGCCGCCAAGTGATGAATAAGGAAATGCTCCACGGAGAAATCAGCAAGGGGGTGAGGATGAGGGGACGGGGGAGAATCGGACAGAGGCCCGCAGAGTGGAGTTCAGGCTAGTCCGGCAGGAAGCTCTGGGACAGAAGTTCTGCCCCAGAGCTGTCCTTAGCCAAGGTTCCCTCGCCCCAGAGTCGTTGGGTAGGAGCCAAAGATGGGGGCACATAAATTCCCAGGAGCTTCCAACTTTCTGTGCACAGGGACAAAGTAGACTCCAGTAGCCTGAGGGCAGTCTTCCAAAAAAAAACGATTTCCAGGTGCTGCCATTTGGGGAAAAAACAAACAAACACACACAAAGCAAACTAAACAAAAAAACACATTGAAGGCAAGATTATCAAATGGTAAAAATGGATCTGATTTGAAGAGACCTGGTTTTGGGGGGACACTAATGGTGTCTGCTATAATGAAGTTTGGAATCAAAAGACATCTTTCTGGAAAGGCCGTGATGGGGACAAGGGAACTGACACAATGTTGTCCAGCTGGCATAGCTGACCCAATGGCCCCCAGTAAATCTTTTTTGCTAGAACCTATATTTTTCCTCCCAACGGCCTTTGATCGTATCTTTCCTCTCAAAATAGTGTTCTCTCCTTTGTATTTAAGAATTGAAAACTTTTCATGAGTTTATCTTAATTCCTATAATAAAGTTGCCAGATAAAAATTCTATTATTAACTCACTTATAAAAACCTTAATGAAAACTGCGTTATAGAGGTGGCTCAACAACACATTGGTTAAGGTTATCTGATGAATTGTTTCATCTATCTAATATTTTTCAACTTACTGTTTTTTTTCCAGGAGATATGGCTCACATGTCAGCCAGGAACCCTTCCTTTGCTTGTTGAGAAGTAACACAATGAAGATTCAAGGTGCTTTGTGTAGGGTGAGTAGGAATTGGCCCTGGATACCCCCGACCTCTCTTCTAGCCTTTCCTCCTCGCTGCATATTCTACTCTGTACACCTTGTATTCGAACAATGGGACAAGGCAGCAGAGGGGCCAGTCTATGGTTTGGACCCCCCTGTCTTCACTTCAAATGATATGATCAATTGGTCAGAGCCCAACGTCTAGGTCTTTCCTCTTCTTATTGAGTACATGTTAATTGTATGTTTCTGATTTTTTTAAGTAATAAAATGTTGGGGCAAAAGTAATTTCTACATATATGAATAAAATATATGGCATCTAGCAAAAAAAAGGAATTAAAACTTTAAAAATTAATGTAATTCTATTGAACTCAAAGGGTTCAGACTTAAAGATCAATAGAAGATTATATAAATGCAGCATAAATGCTGTATGTAGGTTTACAGATAACTTCTGGGACTTGGCCCAATCCTGCTAAGACAAGATTGACTGGGGAGTCCTGGATTATCAGCTTACATGTAGACAATAGTTGAAGCCAAATCTTGTAGGATTGTTAAAGAAAGGGACAGTTTTCAAATAACGTTATCAAGTTTAACGTGTGTTAGCAATTCGAAGTTTCAGTCTAGTGTAATTCCATTCAATCTAGGCCTTTTGTCAAGGCCAGTGCTATCCGATGGCAATATAATAGGAGCCATAGGTCACTTAAAATTTTCTAGTAGCCATGTTTAAACAAAGTGAGAATAAACAGGTGAAATTACTTTTACCAAGATAAAATTTAATCCAATATACCTAAAATATAATTTCCAAATGTCATCAATAAGAAAAGTTGTTAACGAGGTGTTTTACGTTTGTGGATGAAGTCTTTGAATCCAGTGTGGATTTTTCAGGTTTATAGCATATTCCAATTTGTAGTATTGGACAGCACACATCCAGGTATTTGAAAAAACATAGCTCAATGGCATCATATGCCAATTTAACTTACGCAAATTCAAATGTATGAGCATCCGCTCCCCATTTCCCTAGAAAAAAGAACAAGTCATTTAAGTAGTGTGGACTGCTCAGTTTATATTCCACTCTGTGAGTTTCTTTCTTTCTTTCTTTCTTTCTTTCTTTCTTTCTTTCTTTCTTTCTTTCTTTCTTTCT